GCTATTAAGCAAAAAGTTAAGACTAGCCCTGATACCAATTGAAAGTACAAGAGGAGGGGGGGAGGTGAATTGCCTATTTAAAAATTGTATTATAAGTAGTTGACTAGTTTACCAATTAGTCGACTAGAGATAAGAACAGGATAATAGTAATGCAGAAATGAAATGCAGGAAATAAAGACACCAGAATTTTATACTGGTTCGGATTCAATGTGAATCCTACTCCAGTCCCCTTGGGTTGCAAGGGTGTTCTCTTTCAGTGATTGAAGTTTCTTGAGTACAGAATGATTGATGTAGCTTTACACCAACAGTTTGATCTCTATGTCACTTTTCTCTTAAAAATACAACGCCTCACCAGTGTTTGCCTCTTTTTCTTCTCCCACTAATTATACAGCAGATCTAAAAGAACTACAATACTTGTTTGGAGTAGAACAAAAGGAGTGATAATGGTTCGTTCAAAGTATATTCTCTTAAAGTCTGGAACATATGTATGTATACACTTCGTGAGGCCTTCTTGACTCTTGAATGACGTGAATCTTGAGAGATTGCAAACTCAAGGGAGTTGATCCTTGAAAGGAATCATAGATTGATTCTTTCCAAGAATAAAGTCAAATTTCCGTTGATCTTCCTTGATTTGTTGTCTTGGCGAGCTTTTCATCCGCTAGACATATCTTTTCTTTACTTGAGTGATTTGGATAGATCCCTTGATTTCTAGCTTCAATGATCTCCAGTGCATACCTTTACGATCTCGTTTTCCTTTGATTTGGAACCTTCCAGTAATAACTTCCGTCAATTATTTATAGAATCATTAACCGATTCTTCTTCCGGATCTCCGCTACTTCTTCCTCTTTCATCGCTAATCATTGATACTTTTCCTTGTGTTGCTTTTAGAGCTCCCGTGAATAGATTGTTTCTTTAATCTATTCTTCACTGGTATTGCTTCTTGATTCCTTTGTTTTATTCCTTGTGGTCCTGCAATAAATGTGATATATTATTTTGCATCATTGAAACTCATAATTAACATATACATCACCCCCAAACACGTAGCATGTAGCACACAAGTCATTTTGAAAAAAACTTTCCTAAATCAAGGTTGGCCAGGATATTTACCTTCTCTAAAACGAGCTTCAACCTTCAAAAATACATTTTTCTTTCACTATGGCTTCCAAACGTCCACAATCTAGCCAAATAATGCTTAACGAGGTCAAATAATATTGGAGTTATCAATCTCATAAGAAAAAGATTCAATCTTTATTAAAATCTTAATAATCAATCTGAACCCACATGGTCAAAACTCGAGACGAAAATTAAATCTTGGTGACCCATAACCTCCCGAGTACAAATATATTTTGTTTCTCAATTCGAGTCTATTTCGGTATTCAAAACCTCAAAATTCTTTCACAAGTTTTGTTTCAAAATCTTATTTTCTACCTTTAAATCTCTTGATTCTAAGGCAAAAATTGACGATAGATTCATTTAATATTGTATATCCAAATTAGGATTACTTACCCCGATGTAGTAGATGAAAATCTAGCTCAAAACTCATCAAATTCGAGCTTCCAAGCTTCAAAATAGTGTAGAATGGACCAAATAAAAAAGTGAGGCTATTTAAAGAAGACCGCGGGTGAACGGGTGCTACAGGGAGTGCCTCGCACCCAAAAGTGTGCCCAAATTCCGGCGCTATATCAAGTACATCGCGCCTCAGTTATTCTTCCGTGATTGCATTGTTATCCTTCGATAAAATGGTATTAACTCCTTGTACAAATGTTCAAATAATAAACAGTTTGAACTGCTGAAAATTAGACTCAAAAGGCGCACTTCTTATCAAGACTTCATCACCAAATTCTTCATAGCTGGAGAGAAATACTCTCCTGAATTTATGCCAAATGCAGAAGATTATGTTTCAACAGTCCAAATCTTTTCCAAACGCGCTGAAATTTACCCGAGCCCTTCAGGTCTCCTTCAAACCATATCAACAAGTCTAAATATCCTAAACACAAATTCAACTCTCAAGTCAAACTTATGTACCTAAAACTTCTAATTTTCGTGCAATAGTGCCGAATCGCACCCAAGGCTCTCGGGTCCTAATTTGGACATACACTTATTTCAAAATTATCATAAAAACCTATTGGAACCTTCAAATTATAAATCTAAGCTCGTGTCTCTATATTGTTAACTTTGGTCAATTCTATGCTCTTTAAGGCTTCTAGTTAACAAGTAGGCCTACCAAAACGTTCTCAAACATTTCTGGACCCGAATCACCCATACCCACAAGTCAAAAATTATTAAATGATCCCGAGGGAAGTCTCAAATAAGGTAATAGGATACTAAAATTCAAAATGTGCGGCTGGGTCATTATACTTAGTTGAGTGAAAATCAGTATATATAT